AGGCCAAGTTCAGGTCAGCTGGGACTACAGGGAGACCCTGTCTCAAAAAGACAAAAAAAAAAAAATGTGTCATAGAGTGACTTAGCAAACAACAAAATATACTTCTCACAATGCTAGAGGTTGGCAGTTCAATATTAAATTGCCGCATTGTCAGTGTGGTGAAAGCCCTTTCCTGGGTTGCAAACCACTGATGTTTTGTTGTATAACATCAGAAAGAAGACAAAGCTTGTTTGTAAGGACACTAATCTCATTCTGAGGGCTTCACACTCATGACAACTATCAGCTAAAGTCCAAACCCTAAACACCATCACAGTGCAGGGTAAGATTTCACTGTGAAATTGAAAGGGAAAACATTCAGTCCATAAGATTTGTCATGTTAACTATGAACCCAATGGAAGGTAATGACCTGCTATAACTATTTCATCAAATGCAAGACTTCTTTAGAGGGTTAACTTACATGATACTGAGATGATGCCACAAAAGCAGACTTGTACGACAAATGAATTGCTTGCAAAGTCTCAACTTTGCTTGAATTTCATGTTATTCTGAGGGATTGTGGCCTGCCTGATTGTAATGTGCATGTGCATGTGTGGTGTTCGTACGTGCATGTGTGCATGTGTGTGTCTGTGTGTGTTAGAAGGTACTTTAACACCTGTGGATAATTGTTTTTAGGTATATAGTTAATCTTGGAGCTTTATTAGAAAACACACAGTTGTAGTTATTCTAAGGTTCCTCTTTATGCCTCACTGCTGTTCTCATATTTTTATGATTTATTTTAATGACAATATTATAAAAATGCTCAGAATGTTAAAAGACAATTAAAACTCAATGTATCCACTTCTAACAATTAATACTTTGTAAGAACACCTCCAATGTGAAAAAAAATTTGAATATGTATGACTAATTTCAGATGTGGACATTTTAAAGAAATTTTATTTTAAAAAGGGTAAATTGATGACTACTTGATTTTATTTTTGAGTTGACCACAGAACCCAGCACTCTCTCACTGAGCTAGACCTCAACTCCTGATTGTTTGATTTTTAAAAACATTTTTATTATTTGCAAATGTGTATATGTGTGTGTATGCACGTGAGTGTAGGTGCCTGAGATGGTCAGTAGTATTTGACCCTCCATATAGGCAGTTGTGAGCCGCCTGTCGTGGGTGCAGGGATTTCAACTCTGGTGTTCTGCAAGAGCAGTAAATGATCTTAATCACTAAGTCATTCCTCCAGCTCTCAGATTGCTTGAATTTTGATACCATACTCAAACACTTTCCAATAATCCTGTTCGTAGTAGATGCTGTTGAGAGCTCACTAGGCCTGTCAATTCTTTGTGAAATCTAGTCTCCTTTCGGCACCTTTCCATCTCAAACACCTGAGACATGTTAGTCTTTCTTCCTCAGGCTTTTCTACTCTCTCTTGGTCTGTTCGCTAGTGTTCAACAGTTAAATACCCCACCCTGCCAGCAGCCTGCAACCAGCAAGGGATGGGAACAAATGGATAATGTTCAGACGCTTGTCTTTCAGGAGAACGTTTCTAGGCATCTTCTTTAAGTTTCTTGGAAAAGCCAGTGGAGACTCCTGATTCTGATACCTTTAGTTACTTCAAAGGATTTTTATCTTCCTTTCCCTTTTACTCCTGCTCTCTTGGATTAAGTCCCAAATGAGTTCTTTGTGTCCAAGTCTGTGTCTCGGGCTCTGTGAGGAAACACCAACCAGAGCAAATAACTTTTTGACCCTTGTCAGGTTCAGCTAGGTAAGTATAAATTCTCCAGTTATCTTTTTAACAATTTGCAAATAATGAAGGTATAAACTTCATGTGCTCTTGAAAGTTAGTGGTCATTTAGCTAAAAGAAAAACAGGTGCTATGTCTCCCTTACCCAGTAGAAACATTAATGGCATACTTGCATTGTTTTCTAAAAGGTAACTAACTCAATCACATTTAATTTCCTTATGTAGCTGCCCTTCAACTGCTCTATCTTCTTGATGTTCAACTGCTCTATCTTCTTGATGTTTCCTTTATTAATGAAGCAAATGAAAGTTTGACACATGCTGACTATCTGCTTGTATGATACATGATTTTTAACAGCAAGCAGTGAAAACTGCCTTGTAACTTACTTGGCTGAAAGTGATGGAAATACACTGAGGAGTGTAAGATTCATTCCAACCTCAGATATATTAAAATGAGACTTAAACTTGGTTTGTGGAGTACTGGTTCTCAAACTGTTTTTGGTATAAATGGGATTTTTCTTCAAAAGGAAGGTGACTACTCTTTCTTTAAAGCTGTAATAGTAGCTCTCATCTTTACCAATACACATTTCACATGCGGCAACAGGTGTAGGGAACAGTGGTATCTTCTGAAGTCCTGAGGTAGTCCACAGTCTTTAGGGTCCCAGACACATGGTCAAATCCCAGCTCTCTCTACGTCCCCAGCATGGCATGGAAGAGTGTAAGGAACTCCAAGTTTCAACCCCTCATACCTACCCTAGCTCAAAGTACTCACAAGTGTCAGGGAGGGGTAACAGCTACAGGGTGTCAGGGCTCAGAAGAGCAAGATACACAGTAAGGGTTCTAACAAATTCAGACAATGGGCAATGTGAACAGCCGTGTTCAAGGTCCCTGCCTCCTGATAGCTCATATTTTTCTCACATGGAGCCAGCCTCTGGAATTTAGATGTCACCCTGTACAGAAGAAAGAAAGGAAAAAAAATCTAGGCCATATCTGGAATGACCAACAAACCTAGCTATAACCCATCTCACATGAGACTATGCTGTGTAGCTGCAGCTACTTAATATGGATTGAAATAGTCCATTTTGGAGGGAAGAGAGATGCTCACAGGACTCAGGAAGCCCATGAAATGTATAAAATTCACAACTTCCTTCTCTGAGGATATCTATGTAGCAAATAGCTGTTGGAGGAAAAAGAGATTGGTGGAGCTGTGTGACCCAGATGTTCCTTTGACCCTGTGATGTTGAGCCATGGTCCCACCTCCTTCCATGCTCTGCAGTGGAGTCACTCCCATTACCTCTTCCTGCCAATCAGTTGACCGTTAGCTGCTTGCAGGGGAGGGACTAAGAGTTTGAAGCCTGGGAAAACCACCAGGTGGGGCTCTCGCCATTTTGTGCGGCTGTTGGGAACCGTGGGATTTATGTTTGGGTGTTGAACCAAGAATGGGGGGGGGGGGGGGGGGGCAGGGCTCACTCTTCTGTAAGTAAACCCGCCTCCCAAGTACAATAAACTCTGAAAGATTCTTCGAACAGGGGGTTTGGAGAATACTTTCTTTAAGTTGTCATAAGGACAGTGGGAGGAGGAGATTGGATGCCTCATAGGCCTAGGAGCAGTGAATTTGACTTACAAGCTGCAAATTGTGCAAGGAATTCAAGCACTGAACCTTTTGTGGGTTGTAGCCCTGTGGGAGTGGGTTATTCTGTGATGCAGCTACTTTTGAGTCACCTGAAGTTCACTGAGCTGGACTTGTGTGGAATCATTTCTCTGATCTGGTTTGGTGCCCTGCCTGTGGTGAGTAGATGAGCAGATGTTTGTTCATATCTGCCCAGGAAAAGTCACACAACAGAACAAGGATATATTTTCTGCAACAATGTAAAGCAGCAACCCCAAATAAACACTAAATCCATTTATTGAGAACTCAAGTGACATGTTTGCATTGCTGAACTGTAGGGAAAAAAAGTGCCAGAAACACAATACCACCAACCCATTTATACCCCTTGCATTCAAAAGCAAAGAAACAAATAATAACACCAAGCATTTATTCCACACCTGGGTATTTCACAGTGAATTTTACTTACCGGAAATGGAACCACCCTCATCCTTATAGCACACTTACTCTTTTACTTTCATGCAAAGTTTTGGAACAAAGGTATGAAAAATGAGGATTGCATGTGTAATGAATTTCATTCCATAAAGATAACAATATCTTGTAGTGTTTATAGAGTTTACAGAGTCCATATCATATACATTAACTCACTAAATCATGACAATAGCTCCATGAGGTAGGTATTATTGAATTTACAGGTAAAGTACCTGAGACTTAGAGTTAAGTAACATGTCCAAGGAAACACAGCCACGACAAAATGGGGACTTAAATGCAGGCCCTCTGACATACATCATTTGTATGTGTACTGCACACAATAAAAGAGAGACAGTAACTTATTTGCTGTTTATCTACCAATAAAAACAGAAAAACCATGTAATTACATATGTCCCTCAATTTTTGTTTTGTTTTTGAAATAGTTTGAAAACTGGCTCCCTGACCTGTGGACCTGTTCGTCTATTAAGCAGATGCTGGTGATGATTTTCTTTTCCTAAAATTAAATTCCAAATTATATCCCCTCCCCACTGTTACAATTTCTCTTCAGATTTTCAAATTCTGATGAACACAAAATTTAAGTAATGGAAAAATATATGTCATAGGGGAAAAAGCACCTCCAAACTCCCGTAGATTCTCTTGATCTTGGCAGTTCCAAGACATGGTACCCATCTCTCTTGTCCATTCAAGGTGAATGACTTAATATGGTGACTTTAATAAGGATGTCCAACCTGGTATGTGATAGGTATGCCTAAAATTTAATATGGATCTGAAACTAGAAAGCAAATATTTACTGACCAGCATTTGGGCTTTCTGACAGAACATAGGAGGTTCAAACTTTACAAATGAAGTTTATCAGAGTTAAATTTTGATTATTTTAGAAATAGGCTAACTGAAATTCAGATACACATACTTAAACAAAAAATAGCATACCTTTCACAGTTATTGTCTGATCTAATAGCTAACTTCAACCTTTGAATCATTTGCCATTTTAAACCTCATACATTTTAAATAAGAAATTTTCCTTATAAGTAAAACCTGGATGCTATAAAACAAATTAAGATATTTTTTACTCTTTTGACAATATAGTGATGAAATGTTAAGACAACAACTTTGTGATTTAATGAAATAAATCTGATCAGCACACAATGAAAAAAATCAACACAAGAAAGAATGATGTATTTGAGAACATTTTTAATAAATAATGTGACAAAATTACTTTTTTGATTATTGAATTTTCAATATGCAAAATTATGGCTAAAAATAAGAGGCTTCTTACATGAACATAATGAAAACATTAATCACATGGATTTTTCCCTTAGTACCTTTCTATGGGACTTTTTCAATTATCTAAATGAATGCATTTAGTTTTTGGTGAACACCAGCCTGTTCACTGTGGTTCAGTTTTGTTTGGCTTTGTTTTCCAGTGGGGTCAGGCCTGATACCTGTGAATGAATAAATCTTCATTTTGTTTTCTTCAAATAGCACCAATTATAAAATCAATGAAATTTATATAATGGCAAAAAATAAAAGAGAAAAAGATCATAAAAATCTACAGTCAGAGAGCATCATTTGGCAATTTCAAGCAGGTAATGCCTCTGTTTGAGCTTATATGGAAATTTTGTAAGTTTCAACATTGGCCAGAACAAACTTAAAACTTCCTTTTCTTTAAGTCCAGGAAAAGTCTGAACCATTTGGTTCATGGCCCACAATAAAGTCTGCACATGACTTCACTACCTGTCATCATTCAAATATTCCAAATACAAACATAGAGCATTAACAAAACAGGTTAAAAACACTTCTCAACATCTTCTTCAATAAGACAAAAAGGTTAATAGTTACAATGGTTTACAAATAAAGTTTAGTGATTGTGCTTTTAAAACCAAAAAAAAAAAAAAAAGATTAAAACAGTGCATTACAAAAACAAAAATCAAACTTCCTTAAGTGGCACTTCCGAAAGTTGAACTGATAGTACCAGAAGAAACTGAGGCCAGTTAAGATAGGATATCCTCACTCAACTGGTCATTCAAAACATCCACTTTTTTTGTAATATGCATTTGTAGTTGCTTTTTGATTGAAAAATAGAACTAGGTTTTTGCTGGGTTTATTTATGAGAATGACTAGACAACCAGTGGTCCAACTGGCTTAGCCCTACTTATCCAAAAGTACATTTCCAGTAAGAATATACTTCCATTATTGAAATGAAGACAAAATAAAGTACCACCAGGAGTTGCAAAGTGATATATTTACAATGCTGCTACCCCATTCAAACTATCTGTTGTTCTGCATTTGTTATATTTTAGTTTCTTCCAGCAAAAGGTGGTATGAAAGACTGATTTTCAAATCATGTTAAAATGAAGTATGCTAAAGTTGCATTAGCAGTTGGTTATAGAAGGATTATACTTAGAGAGCCCTTGGCATGAGGTTGATTCATCAACTTTGTATCTTTGATCAATATTTTGCTATAAATTAGCTTGATATATAAGCAGTGCAGTGTCATATCTTAGGGGCAAAATGCAGAAGAACTGGTAAGTTCTTTCTTGCTGCTGACGACTGGAGCAAGCAGTCAAGACACTTACTTCCCTTGTTGGAAGTTAAGTGTATCAGTTGCAACAGCGAGGGGGCAAGAGGGAGGTTCCTCAAGGGTTAGGGGATCAAACAGCAACAATAAAAACCCAAGAAAGTTTTAAAAACTGGTATCCCAATAAGAGGAATAAAAACGACAATTTGTACATTCTGATTGCACTGAACATTTTATATGGTGTAGTGTGTCATCAGATGGGAGGCATCTTGAGCGATGATTTTCACATTGATCTCATGAGCCTCTCTGGTTGTCTTCAGCTTTCAGTTTCCTGTAAGAGATCAATTATTGTTAAGGTTGAAAATAAGTCTTAAGAGCATTGTCTCATTTATTTATATGCATCTATCCTTACAGTTGATTGTGTTTTCTTCACTCATTTGCTGACATGCATTGAAAAGTGCTCATCACAACTAATTCATTTGTCAACTTTAGATGATCTTTAGAGCAAAATCACAGTTCACTAAGAAGTACAAAACAGTTCTGCACCAAGCCTAAGGATTTGTCATAGAGAGGGAAGGGTGCAAGGCTCAGAATAAGGAGAAAAAGTGTTCTAAGTTCCAGATGCCCCTCAGGCCCATCTCAACATTTGTATTGTGTTAATTAATTTTTAATTAATTTGATTCCAAAACAAAAGACAAATTCAAAAAACAAGCAGTCTGACAGCACTTGTGGAAGTTTCTCTTATTGCAAACCACAAAATCTAAATACATTGAGATATATGCAGCCAATTAGATATAATTTTTCATCTTATGAAGTTTCAAATTCATTTGGCATCTACTTGAGATTATATATACTTGTAAAGACACAAATTTAGCCTTGCACTAAATGGAGACAATATAATAATTATTATTTCTTCAATATTTTATTTGTTATTTTTATTTTATGTGTTTGAATGTATTGCCTGCATGTATGTGAGTGCACCTGTGTCGTGCAATGCCATGGAGGTCCGAAGAGGGCTTCAGATTCCCCTGGAACTGGAGTTAAGGATGGTTCATAGCTCCCATGTGGGTGTTGGGAATCAAATCCGGGTCCTCTGCAAGAGCAATCAGTGCTCTTAACTGCTAAGCCCTCTCCAGCCCCCTCCCCCTTTTTTATTAAATGGATAAAACATAATAATTTTTAAAGGGAAGGGACTTTTATATATGGCTTCCAATTATATCTTGTACCATTATTCCTAGAGTCTAGTAAGAGAAGAAGATTTTGATGCAGAAAGAGCTCCTTTTTTTGACTAGGTCACCTTTTCAGAAGAGTGAAGGTATCAGATTGCTGGCAAGTGAGTCAAATTAATCCCAGTGACAGATACACAGGCTAAACCTTGTAACATTCTATCACTTTACTGAGTTTTTATATAATAGCATAAACTATAATATAGCTAGACCAGATTATTTCCCAACAATGTGTTCTGTCATATGCATTTCTTTACTGAAATGTACAAAGGAATATGAATCTTTGATCTACAAACATACCATGGGAACATTTAAAAATATGAAATACACTTCAGTCCAATCCTTCAATTGTCAAAACTTCAGGTGCTCGGCATCACAGATGTCAGGGTACAGAAAGCTTGTGATAAAATATTACATATTTTCATTCTGATGAATGTTCTTGACTTTGAAGCTGATATCACAACTACAGTCTAATGCTTAAAAAAATGGAAAACATGGGGCTGGAGAGATGGTGCTGCAGTTAAGAGCACCGGCTGCTCTTGCAGAAGACTGGGGTTCAGTTCCCAGCACCCACATTGTGGTTAACAACCATCTGGAACTCCAGTTCCAGGGGAACTGACGCTGTCTTCTGACATCCATAGGCATTGACTGACATGGGTGCACTTACATACATGGAGGCAAAACACTCATACACATAAAATAAAAACAATAAATAAAAATATTTAAGCAAAAAAAATTGGAAAACATTATAGATACCTCTAACTCTTCATTATTATCGTCTCCTCTCTCGTATCCTCCAAGTACTTGCATTTCTGCCATGTTTCTCCGACCTACATTAGCTTGCTCTCTTTGTCTGCTTCCTGATCCTCTTGATGACATTGAGCTTGAGGAACTAGGCTCTCTGGCGTTGTTTGATGTTGGAAAAGTAGGTCTACAGTAAGGTAGAATATCCTCTGTGTAAAGAAATACAATGAGTACACGTGAATACAACAGGATGCTGACTTTATAACACGCTACTCCTATCTACCTGTAATTCCCAACACACGAGCATCGGTGATTCTGAGCTGTAACAAGGATACTTTGTAAGCATAATGAGTAATGCAGGACTCAGTTTTGAAAAATAAAAATAGAAGCCTTTAGTTTTCCTTGCAATGGTTGGGGATTTGGAACCTATTCATAAACTCATGTCCATCTCCGACTTGGGACCAAGGCTATTAAAGGAGACAAGCCAATTGTGGAATCAACTGGCTTCCCATTCTTGTGTGATCTCAGATGACTTTAGAGTTTAGTTTCCACTTTTTCACAAAAGCTTTAACAGAATGTACATTTAGAGGAACTCTACTGATAAGCATAAAGATAAGAGTGAAATCACTAATTAACGACAAAGTGTGATTAGTAGCAATCAAGCCCAGTTTCCCAGAACTACCAACTCAAGAGTCTAGCAGGGGGTTGGACCCTAGCCACTGAGAACCAACCTCCACATTCACAATATATTTGCACTGCAGAACTCTGAATCTCAGAAGCTAATTTCTGACAAAGCACTCCAGTTAACTGCTATTTCCTGGATTTCTGTCTCCATACAATTTTAAATTTACTGATAACTTTGCCAGATTCTGCACCATTCAACTGCTTTCCTCTATAGCCTGTCTACCATCTGTACATAAATCACATAAAAAGCAAACTTTTCTACATGACCCCATCCCTGCCACCCCCAAGTGCTTGCTTTACTCCTTTACTTGCCATACCACATGGCTGAAGCTTGATTTCTCCTGGCAGAAGGTAGAGTGAGGAGGAAGGCCTGCTTCTGGCTCCCCAACATGTTCTAAATGATTGCTACTCCATCCTTGCATGGAAACAGCCTCTTCCTGTGACACATGAGCCACCTACTTAGGAAGCCAATCAGAACCCTCGATGGCCCTTTGTTCTTTTCACTGTCTCCTCCTTACCTCAACAGTTTGAACTAGGCTTGATCTAGTTCGAACTCTTGGTACTTTCTCTTCATCCATGGTCTCTGCTTACCCTCACCTCCATAAACCCATTTCTTGCTGTTGCCTTTCATTTTTTTCAAGCTAAAATGTGTTAAAGTCTCTCTTGCTAAGAATTTTGCCTTAAGCTGATTCCCAGCAATCGATACCTTCCTTCTCTCCTTGCTGCCCAGCCAGGCTTCTTCTAAAGCAATTTGGCTCAATATTGGTAGTTGTAGATCCTTTTACCCTGTGTCCCACTGAATCTACTTATGGCCACATTAACACCATAGAAATGAGACAGTTGATGGGGGCTAACCAGGTTTCAGTACTCATGTATCAGGACTTCCCTCCTTCTCACTCAATTCCAACATTATTATTCTCTTAGGTTCTAGCACTTCTTCCTTCCTGACCTATCTTTGGAACATGCAGTTTACATGTAACTGTGAAAAACAGTCTCTTACATGTCAATGCCCTAACATTTTCTCCTTTCTGTACACACACACACACACACACACACACACACACATACACACACACACACGCATATATGCACATACACACACACACATTCATACACACACACATACAAACACACACACATATGCAGCATTTTTCTTTTCAACTTATCTTAGTTGATTTCATGCATTCTTATAGGTTGTAACCCTTTTGAGAATATTTGCCATGTGGATTGTTATTTTTGTCTATTTTAAGTGTTAATATATTCCCAGTTTGCCGTGTAATAGATCAAAAATAAGTACTTTTAAGTGAAAGTGGCTTTAACTACGATTTTCATCATGAAAAAACATTCATTAGTACTGTCATTCATGAGTTTCCTCCTGAATCTAGAGCTCCCACAGCCAGCTCGATTATACCTCATCAAACTCAATATATTGAACACTGATTGCAGCATACTCCTACCCTGAGACTGATCCTCACACTCTGACTACCACAATGACACAACCCTTCGTTTACCTCAAAACCTTCATCTTTGCATCCTTGTGATCCAGAGACACCCAATTCCTTACATTCTCCTCCACAGACCTTAGTGTTAACTTTTCAACCTGAGCATTCTACTTTCTTTCCTAAACTAAATTCTAGGCTGAATTCTTAAACACTCAGTTTATGTGCCATTTCTACCAGGAAAGCCCTTTGGCTCTTTGCTAACTTTCTATCTCTAATAATACTGGGCTAACTCTCCTCTTTCTGAACTCCCAGTATGAACTTATATTCTACCCCCTCTACCGTGTGTGTGTGTGTGTGTGTGTGTGTGTGTGTGTGTGTGTACACATGTGGCTAAAAGCTTCTCGAGGTCAAAGATGATGCTCATAGAATTCTGAAGGCTCAGTAGAGTAGGTAATAACACAATGGGTATTTGTTACATGTAGAAATATATTGAACTGAGGTAAATGTCAGCACAAAAGATCAGACCTCCAAATCTAGAAAACCACTTTCCTTAATTAAAAATACCCATTCACTGTATATGTAAATCAGGGTGACTCTCATTAAACAAATAATGTAAAGTGAATCATGAAGGTGAAAATTATAATAATGCATAGCAATGACAATTTAAAGACACACACAGAGTCATGGTTCAAATAAAAATCTGGAAAGGAAAGTATATTAAATAATAACTAGTCAATGGATCTCTTAAATGATTTTCATGTAGTAGGTTTACTTATTTCTAGATTAAAGTTTCCCTGTTTAATTCTACAGTTAGAAATAATTTTGTAATGTAACAGCAACTTATTGAGTTTTGGAATATTGATTTAAACTGTTTTCCTCTTTGTTCTGATTCTACCACACCACGATCTTCCTAGCCCTGCATTTGTCTCCTGAAGAATTCCACCTACTTTGGAACTTACTTATGATCAGAAAACTGGTCATGCTTTCTGGATAGGCAGGAAGTTTGTAGCTGACAGCATGGTATTCTATGTATGAATCAATACTTGGAACAAAGGCACCAGGAGTCAAAAGTTCAGAGCCAGAGAAGCTTTGACTTAATGGACAGAAATAAGCAGTAAGTGCTTGTAGTGCTGGATGTGGTGATATCTCCAAGCACTCTGTGGTTGGGCGGAAAGCATCTGTGTGAAAGGTGCGGCTTGGCCTGGCTCTGCTCTGCACTCGAGTGCAGAATCATGTTTGCAGCAGTTGGGCTCTGGTCCCAGAGCAAAGTGGAGCCACCCTTCACTCCGAAAGGAAGTTAGTGCGTGACCATAACACACAGAACAACAGACCGATTACAGATCTTACCAAAATATACTCTACTAACATACAGTGAAAGGCCTCATAGTTTCTCCACATTCTTTCCTCTAGTGTTCCTTCCCGACTCCCCCGTCAATCATCGGCCTTTTATTTGATCTCTTCCCCTTAAAAGCTGTCTTATCACACATGGTCTATAAAAATGCCAAATCCTCTCCTATATCATTTTCAGCAATACGGCTTTCCTGACAAACACTCTGTCACCAGCTTTTCCTTCTCATTCCAACCTTCTGAAAGTCTTCCTCCTCACCTCCTGCTATGGTTTGAATCCGAAATGGTCCCCACAGGCTCCTGTTCTGAACGCCTGCTCCCCACTTGGGACCATTTCTCCGGGCTGTGGAATCTGCCGTCCATGAGGCCTGCTTGGCAGAGCTGGCTTGGAGGCGAGTGTCTTTAAACCTTACATCTGCCCAGGCTCCTGCTCTGCCCCCTGCTCCCTGGTCTACCACATAGTCCCATTCTCATATCTTTTCTGCCACGATGGACTAAAACCCTCTGAAAACGGGAACCAGGATACACATTATTTCTTATTGTTTCTGTCAGATACTCTGATCACAGCAGCATGAAAATAACTGATACATGTCCCTTTCAAAGTTCCACTTTACTATTTTCCACCATCTGGATTCTGCGGTGAAAGTTTTAAAAATACTAACCGTGGACGACATACTTAAAAAATCCCCCTCTTCGCATGAGCCCATGTCCAACTTTCACCTTGTAACATTTTGAACATTTTTACTTTTATTTTGGGGGATGTTTAGAGGCTGCACACCCACACAACCATACTCACATGGCCATTCCTAGCTTTCCTTTTTGGCATTTTTTTCATGTGTGTGCATTCATGTTTGCATGTATGTGATCACATGGGAATGCATGTATCTGTGTGTACTCATGTATGTGGTGGCCCAAGGTTGACGTCAGGAATCATCTTCCTCTACTCTTCCACCTTATTCCTTAAGGCAAGGGCTTGCAGTTGAACCCAGAGCTCTCTGTTACAGCTAGTCTCCTGGCTGGCTTGCTCCAGATATCTTGTCTCTGCCTTCCAAAGCTGGAATTACGGGTGGGCTGCCATGCCCATGCTGCATTTATGTGGGTTCTGGGGATCTGAACTCCAGTCCTCATGTCTGAACAGGAAGTGCACTAAGTGCTGAACCAGGTCCCCAAGCACCTCATATTTCAATCTTAAAATTTCCTCCTCCATTCTTAGAGAGAGAGAGAAAGAGAGAGAGAGAGAGAGAGAGAGAGAGAGAGAGAGAGAGAGAGAGAGAGAGGCTAGCATTAAACTCAAGGCCTCTCTTGGTAAGCACTCTACCATGGAGCTATATTTCTACCCCCTGGATATTATTTTTAATAGCTTAGCTATCCTGATTATTATATCTTTCGAGTAGACAATCTCAGTGTGCTTTATAGAATATGATTCAAGGACTTTCTTTTCCCGTTAGAGACAAGAGTTATGCAATTTGGGAGTCTTTTAGATAGACCCACTGAAGGAGCACTCCAATTGCCTCACCCTGCGTCCCTGTTCAGCATGGAAGAAGCCAGAGTGGTCTGCGTCCCTATTCCCTATTGCCAATTGAGGTAACCCCTTCAGAGGATGGCATGATAAGAATAGGAAGTGTGAGTTGGCTAGGCAGTTAGGGTAAAAAGACCCAAAGAAATGTAGCCAGTTTCTGGGCTAAAAGTCAAAATATCCTTGGGCCTATTAGCAACACACTCTGTTTCAAAGACAAAAAGTGTCAAAATGTCAAAAGTATTTGGGAGCTCGTATCTAATGCTTAAAATATTTTAGGGTTACCTCTTCAGAGGGGAGAATGAATGTTGGTGGGGAGGGAGTAGGCATGGATTTAATCAAAATATCTTATATGCATATATGAAATTCTCAATAAAGTTTTTGCAAAAGTTAAAAAAAAAAAGAATATGGATTTTCTTCCTATCTTAGAATAATTGTTCCTAACTGGAGGTGACATTTGGGCACATTTCAAAAGAAGTTACTGTCATCATCTTTTTCTAACATCGTATTCACTGACTTAATGCTAACAGCTTAGATTTAGCCTTTGGGGAAACAAAACAGACACAGTAAATGTCTATAAATTAGGCTTTTGTTTCATTTTTCCTTCTAGAGAGCTGATTTGTAAACATTTATTATGGTAGATGTCATCATCACTGATATTCAGTCTTTATAATTCAACAATTATTACCTCAGTATTGCTAGGTCCAAAATCCCATCCTATTAGAAACTTTCTCCTGATCTTTAAGCCCAGTTCCCTCAGTTTCTATTGTCTTTGTATCTTTGTTCTTTTCTCATTTTCATTCGTATCATTATTATTTTGTTTTTTTTGTTGTTGTTATTTTTGAGACAGGGCCTCCCTGCTGCCCTAACTGGCCTGATCTTGCTACACAGACCAGGCTTGCCTCAATCTCATGGAGGTCTTCCTGTGTCTGCCTCCAAAATGCTGGATTAATAGCATGCAGCATTTCATCTCTGCCTCATTCATATCATTTTAACTCAGTGATTTCATATTTTATAGCTAGATTACTACAGCAATGCTTCACCCAATATTTCAGTCTCAGTATTCTGGGTGGCACAAATCATGTCACATCATTTCTCACTTAAAAGTATTTTTTGTTATTAATTTTTAAGTTAGCATACCAAAAAGGAGATTCCCTGTGGCCTTTTCATATATACGTGTCACGGGACTTTGCTGTGATTTACCCTCTTTCCCTATGACCCTCCCCCATGCCACTGCCTCCCCTTTAGCTGGTCCCCTTCTTCTCCCCAAGTAGTCCACCTTTTACTTTCATGTCACATGTGCTCTGTTACCCTCTTTTCCTCTCCTCTCCTTAGAACTGGCTCCTTAATGCCTATATAGTCAATAAAAAATGCTTTATAATCTAACCACCTGGCTAAATTTGTCTTTAATCATTTATTATTGTTCCTAGTCTCCAAAAACTGGAAACCATCGAATGCCAAACATGCATTTTCAAGTTTTCATATTCTTTTCTCAATATATAAACTTTCCTCATCTGATATTTCCATTCTCCTTATTTACTCTCTTGAAATCATGTGGCACCTCTTCAGAGAAGCTTGCATGATGTCATGTATTTGAAAGAACTGAATTAAGTTATTTGGGTGTATGTGGTCTCTTTTGTTAGAGAGCAAAATTCCCAGTTGTACTACCTTCATATGGCCACATAAAGACTACCCATGTGTCTTGCAATAACACCTGTTAACTTATACTTATTTGCTATTTGGAAAAATCAGTACCTTGGATGAGATGTGTCTTTGCTGGTGGAAGGTCTCGTTTAGCTGCCTTGTTTCCACGTCCTTTCCCATCATTTGGCTGTTCCTGTGCTTCTCTGGGGTCACCTGGATTTGTTCTCAGGTCAGCAACTTGTCTTCCATCCAGCACTTCTCTCCCCTTGTAACTGCTTCCTTTTCTATCTGATGATCTGTCTGTTCTTGCTTCCATAGAAGCGAGTTTTGGCACCATTACAGGTCGTACCTCCAGCTGTGCCTTGGACTGGACAGTGGGTGATTTTATAGCAGGTGGTGGCACTGGAGGAGGTGGAAGATCTAAAGAGAATATTTAACTATTGTAAGTACTGCCACTTCTAAAGTCATCAAAACTAGGATTGTCGTTGGAGTCACATTCAATCGTGAGACATTCTATTTTACTTGAACTTGAGCAACCGACAGTAACAAAAAACAACACCAACAATTTTAACATTCTGCCATCATCTAGCACAGAAAAATGTAATGATAGGGTCAGGTGTTGGAGACGCTCTAGCACGGGACTCTCCTTTCTCCAAACCATCGAGTTTCCTATTTGATTTCAGCATACTTTCTTTGGTCTTTGATGTTAATATCTTTAGGCAACATTTTCAAATACATAGAGGTTGGCACTTAAGACTTATTTGTTCCTTCTCATTTTGTGGGTAAGAAGCTCCACACAGACTTTAAATTATTTTCTGATAAGCTTATTTCTAATAAGCTGTGTACTATTGGAGTGAAGACTAATGCTCTTAGAGTCTTAGTTTCTACTTTATTGCTCTTTGTACCATTTGATTCAGTTACATACAGGTACCATTCAGTGATGGGCTCTCTCCACTCTGTATACCCAAAAAGTTTAAAGCAGATAATTACTGGTAGAAATTATAAAAAGTTAATTTCTTATTATTTACACATATAGAGCTATATCTAGTAATTATATTCTAAGCAATCTATTATAACAACTTGACACACCTGGGTTGAGGGAGCCTCAACTGGAGAATTGCCTCCGTTGGACTGGCCTGTAGTCATGTCTGTGGGGAATCTTCTTGGTTATTGAGTGATGTGGGAGGGCCCAGCCCACTGTGGGTGGTGCGATCCCTGGGCAGGTGGGGCCTATGTTGTATAAAAAGCAGGTTGACCATGGGCCAGAGGAGCAAGCCAGTAAGCAGACTTCCTCCATGGCTCGTGCTCCAGTTCCCGCCCTGAGTTCCAACCTTGGGCTCCCTGACGAACTGTGACCTGGGAGATGTGAGCCAAAAAAACCCTTTCCTCCCCAAGTTGGTATTGGTCAGAGTATTTTGTCACAGCAATGAAGAAACAAACTAGAACAGATTTTTATAACATGGATATACATCAGAATGAAAGTATGAATAGAGTTTGTTAAATATAAAATGTAATTTTCCTAAGCAGTACTACTATCAATTAAAAACACTCCTACATATACTCCCAAAAGAGATTAATATATGTTGATAGTATTTGGTAATTTAGCATAAGAGGAATAGATTTTCAGAGGGGGTAATGATTTGACTATAGTGTTGAGGGTGGTTTAAAAAGACAGGCTTGACTCCAGGAGGACAAGGGGTTATTAGGATATCTTCCATAAGCAATGAAGGGATGGGAAAGTGCTGCTGGCTGTTTAAAGAAGAGCAGGGGATGAGTTTGAGAGAGTAAGGAAAGAAAATGGTATTGTGTAATGATCAGTGGAGTACAGTTCAAGGCAGTAAAGAATCTCAGATGACTCCTAGGGTTTTCAGCAGAGTTGACTAGGTAGGTGAGAAAACAGGTGCAGGTGTGGAGTGCAGGAGTGAGGAAAGTGGGTGTGAAGGAGCACGAGTTCAGGCTTAGGAAAGTGAACAGAGAATCCAGACAGAATTATAAATAGCTACTATGTATAATATCCAAGTTTCAAGAGTGGAAAAAATGAGAGAAAGAGAGAACATCAGGATTAACAGCATTGCTATGTTTTCAGTCATTTCTGTAGCTACAGCCATTCCTATAGGCTTGGTGGGGGGTGGCTGCAGTGGCATGGTTAATGCAGTGGACAGTGAGATATGTAACTAGGGTGAGGCTTTCTAAACAGTCGAGGGTGATTAGAGAGAGCCCAGGGTGGTAGCTATCTTGTAGATGGTATGGGGTGAATACCTGCTTGACCAGTGGGGGCCGCCACGTGAGTATGGAGAGGCCCTGAAAACAGCAGAAGGTCTGGAACAGATTCTACAATCTCTGGGAGTAGCACACCAGGGACAGAAATGTCAAAAAGCAGCTGCAGAGGCTGCTTGGCCACTGCTAATGATAATAAGAAATCTATCCCAGGCAGAGGCCTTAGCCAGAAGGGAAACTGAAGGTGTTAGAAAGGAACGAGAACGGGAGAGGGACATGAGGCTGGCCTTTTTGGTACTGGCCTCTGACCTTGCCAGTAAATTAGATAAGAAAGAAAAGGAGATGGAGGTGTTGGCTTGCAGTTTTTTTACATCTAGGAGGTCAGAAGGGGGAAAAAGCCCAGATCAGAATGATGATAAAAGGCCCATCCTGGGATCCTAAAACCTGGAACCCCTGGGAAGAGTCGGGCAGTGAGGAAGAAGGAAGTGACCTAGAGACAGTGGGAGATGCTCCTTGGGTCTGACCTCTAATTCAAAGAAAGGGAAAATCCATGGTCCAACACAAGATGGAGGTCTTATCAATAGCCCAGTGCAGGAGACCATGCTAATCAGAGAATACTCAGCACCAGAACTATTAGAACTGGGAAAGACATTTAAACAAGCTATGAAGGAACCTGTGGCTACCTGGCTTGTGAGGCTATGGGACATGGGACAGATGGAATCATTTAAAGTTCTACAGAAACAGAGTAGTTAAGCAACATAACCACTCATCCCTCTTTGAGACAAAGACCTCACAATTTAAGACAACAAGAGGGAAACCAGTCCATGATGTATTGGCTCATACTAGCCATTTGGGATACGTGAGTATCTCCAGCTGAAATTGCCATGAATATTAGAGATTGGAAAGCCATTGAGGAAGGACAGGCTCTGTTGAGGGAACTGAGCATGGGGGAAGCTGTATTTGATGCCCAGTTCACAGGCCCAGACAGGGCTATGTTTAGGAGACTTAAGAAAGAAACTGATTTAGCAAGGTCCATGAGACTGGTATGGAGCTTTGGTGGCAGTGCTAAGCCCCATGGTCAGGCGTGACCTGTATGAGACTGGCGAGGCTCTGGCAGATTTAAATGATTTAGACCAACATGTAAACAGGGTTCGAAAGGTGCTGAAGCAAGTAGACACAAGGGAAAAGAGCAGGAACTCAGCAAAGGTGCCCCTCTCTGTCTCCCGAGCACAGATGTGGGTAGATCTATGCAGAGCAGAGGTTGCTAGGGACAAGACAGATGGGCAGCCAAACGCTGTGCTGGTGAGTCTGTGGAGGGCTTTAAGACCTGACCAGAAATTCACCACAGAAGTAAGAGAAATGGGGGATCAGGAGGTGTGGGTAACCCCAACTGCACCCCCTGCTCCAGAGGAAGGCAGCATCATTGGATGGGACCCCCCTCAACCACTGCCTTGAAGGGGTTGCCAAGGTTGCCCACAGGTGAGGGCCATACTGGGTAACTGGAGGCCACATGTTGAATTGAGGATTTATTGGTCCCCCACTAATATACAAAATACATGGACCCTAGTGGCTACTGGGGCAGAGTGTACATTAATTCACGGCAATCCCCCAAAACATCAGGGCCAGTGGATAGCAGTGAATGGGTATGGGGATAAAACGATACAAGTAAGGCAGACTAGACTCATTCTGAGAGTGGGCAATTATCCCTCCCAGGAGTACAAGGTGTACATGTACTCCTCTCCTCTTCAAGAGAACATTTTAGGGATGGATGCCCTGCTGGGTCACACCCTACATACTACTGTGGGAGAGTTTCGGCAGAGAGTGTGAAAAGTAAAGGCGATTACTCAGGGGTGGGCAAGATGGGAGCCAGTCAAATTGCCCACCCCATGAAGGGTGGTGAATATCAAACAGTACTGGCTGCCTGGGGATCGAGATGAAATTACTTAAACCATCCAGGAGCTTGAGCGAGTAGAAGAATAGTCTCGTTTGGCCTATCAGGAAGCCAGATGGCTCCTGGAGAATGACTATAGATTATCAGGAGTTAATTAAGGTGCCTCCCATTCATGCAGTGGTGCCCAACATTGCATTGTTAACTGATCAGCTGGTGCAGGAAATGGGGTCCTTCCATGCTGTGGTGGACCTTGCTAACGCATTCTTTAGTATTCCCCTGGTGGCTGAATCCCAAGATCAATTTGCATTCATGTGGAATGGACCACAGTGGACTTTCAGAGTACTTCCCCAAGGTTACCTCCACAGCCCCATGGTTTGTCACAGGATGGTGGAGGAAGTTCCACTACATAGTTGACATAATGCTAACTTCTGAGTGCCTTACAGATTTGGAAGCTCATTTGGGAAACATGCAAATGCACCTGAAGGAGCAAGGATGGGAAATCAATCCACAGAAGGTACAAGGGCCTGGTACAGAGGTAAAATTCTTAGGAGTTTTATGGTCAGGCAGAACTCACATGATACCCAGGGCAGGAGTTGAGAAAATCTTACAATAACCCATACCAGTAAATGCTAAGCAGTTACAAGTATTTTGGGGACTTCTCGGGTATTGGTGAATTTTTATACCTCACCTTGCTCAGGTTACCTGCCCCCTGTATAATCTAATAAAAAGAGGTGCTACATGGGATTGGGAGGTAAAGGCCCAACAGGCATTTGAGCAGGCCAAGATACTGGTTGGGCAAGCTAAGCAGCTGTGTGCCCCAATTCCTTGGTGTCCCTTTCTCTTGGAAGTCACCAGGAGCCCTGAAGGTTATGGGTGGGGCTTGTGGCAACAACAACCTGAACAGAGGGTCCCAATTGGGTTCTGGTCCCAATCATGGAAAGGTGCAGCATCCTGGTATACAGCTCTAGAACAGCAGCTGCTGGCTGTGTACAAAGCGTTGCAACATGTGGGATCTGTTATGGGCCCCACCCCCATTACTGTAAAAACCACATATCCCATAAAAGGATGGGTGGAGGTCCTGTTAGCCAAGCCCCTCTCAGGGGTGGTCCAAAACAAAATTCTGCAAAGATGGCATGCATATTTGCAACAGCGAGGGGTGGTGTCAGCAAGCCTGATCACCAATGCCATGTAAGCAGTACTAGGACCAGTGTCATTTCAAGGCACAGAGCCTCTTCCTCCACCTCCTATAGTTGACCCTCCAGCAAGACCTGACCTATTGCTAGAAGGGGCTCCCCCAATTCCCGCTGATGCC